GGGTGCCCGGCCATTGGCTGCCGGCGGAAAGGGGCGGCCCCTTGCGGCAGGGATTGGTGGGGGGCGCGGAGCAGGCGCCGGAGGGGACCCGGAGGGAGGGCTGCGAGGGCGACCCCGGAGGGACGAAGATGGGGAAAGGGGTGCGACCGGATAGGCTGGAAAAAAAGGTCAAACGGGAAAATGGCCATCGGAGGACGGTGGGTGGGCGGGCCCAAGGCTATGGTATTAAGGAATAAAGGAAATGTGGGAGGAAGTGGGAAGAAGGCAACTCTGTTACCCTCGCCGTCTACAAAGAAAGCCATCATCTTCTGCTCGTTGGTGCAGCTGCGGATTCCCGCAATGCGGCTAGACGGGCGCAGGGAAAGGCGTTTAACTTTCACGTGCAGTAATTGAGTTATGGCCACCAGGTGGCGCAGAAAAATCACAGTTCTTAGAAATAGTGTGTGTTTCTTGGACCCATTTTTGGAGGTATTGCTACAATTTCGTGTTTGTTGTTAGAATGCGTATTAAATTAGTCCATTGTTACCAGCCTTGGTAATGGAGAGACAAATGAGTCAAACTTCCTGGCAATGAGAGAGACAAATGAGTGAAACTTTTTTTTTTTTTTTTTAATGAGTGCGTGTGTTTTCAATAATACTGCTTATTTTAAGCTGAGAATAAAATTACTACTTTACAAACTTTTATATTTGCACTATCAGGCAACTGTCAGCTACACAAAAATTCCTTCAGAGAATTAAATTCAAATGTAAGGGACTAAGGAATTTTCTATTTCTGCTTGAAGAAATTTTTAAAATAGTAGGATTTGAGGTTTAAGCGATTTTGTAGTTTACATGGATTTAAATTTTTAATTCTAGTGTTAATTATCTTACTTTAGTTCCCATGGTATGTAGTTACCTTTTTTCAGATTTTAAGTTTCTGAATGAGTCTATGAACATTAACTTTTTTCCATGCCCGTTGGTTATGTAATGACATTCTTGAGAGAAAGGGTAACAACATTCGCAGGCTTTAAGGCAAAGCAGTGTTTCTCATTGGTTTCACTTTAAGGTGCACTCCACCCAGTGGGGCACATATTATTTTCATGAGGATTGTGTTTTTTTTTTGTTTCCAACATTCATGGTCTAGCTAAACGTTTGTGGTGATGGGCAACTGGTAATTCCTACTGATCTAACTTTCAAAGCTGTGCATTAATCTGTACTTGCTATGCAGCAGAGAATACCACCAGCCAAGGTGCTCATCAAAGTCTATAATCTTCAACGATTAACTTTGGTTCCAAGGGAAAAGTTCATCTGGAAGAAAATATTTAAGGATCATGGTTAAAGAAACAGATGAGCAACCTATCTTTCCGAGATGTTTAAAATATCATCTTGAGCTTAGTCAGACCATTGGAAGGCTGCACACTGGAACATATTAATTTAGCCCCTTATAGAATTTCATTCACTGAATTTTGTACTAAGGTTAAATTCTTTAGCACAAAATACCATGCCTGACACTTCATGAGTGTTTGTTAGATTAAAACTACCTTGGGATTTGCTTTGACACTCATGGTGACTTGGTGGGAAGTTCCCTTGGTCTGGCATCCAAGACCCTTCATCTCATTGTCTTGTCAAGCCTCATCTAATTCCCCCTTCAAGGAGCCTTTATTCCAGGTAAATGGGACAACAGTTTCTACTTCTGGGAATTCTATCCCCTTCTTTGTTCTGAACTCTTTCTGAGCTCTTTCTTCGCCTGAGGAAATGTACTATTTTTTTTTTCAGAGTTCACCTCAAATCTCATTCTCCATGAAGTCTTTAAGGGATAGATATGAGAGATATGTAACAGGGTGGATATGAGAGAAAGCAAGTGTAGTGGCAAGAATATGGTGTCCCCACACCTAAGGTGGAACTCCTATTATGCTATTTACTTTATGGCTTGAGGAAGTAATTTCCATGAGCCTCACTTTCCTTATTTGCTAAAGAAACTAAATGCCTAAAAAGCATATGAAAAGTTCCTGGCACACAATAGGCATTCTATAACCAATCATTTCCATTAAACATGTAGTGCTCTATTATTCTTACCACACTTGTATATTCTTTGCATTATAGTTATGGAGCATTTTTTGTTTGTTTGCTCTTCCCAACTAGATGGTGAGCACCTTAAAGCCAGACAATATAGTGTCGTGGTTAAGAGCTTGGTCCCGGGGGACAGGTCATCTGTGTTCAAACCCTAATACCACCATTCATTAACTGTTCACTTGGAAAAGTTACTTAACTTCTTTGTGCTTCAGCTGTAAAGTGAGACTCATACCTGAGAAAATTAAGATTAAATGAATTAATACTTTAGTACAGAGCAATATTAGGTGTATGGGAAGCATTGAACTGTTATATATAATTAGTTGTACTCCCAACTACTCCAAACAGTACAGTATTGATTCCATAAGCATTTAGTAAGTTTTATAGCACTGATGGTCCTTTCAGTCATGTCTGTGTTTGGTTTTCTTTTCCCCAATTTTTGCACTGATCTACTTATACCTGTATTATTTCATCATATATTCAAGTTAAAAGAAAACACTTAGAAAAACTAGGTGGTTCTGGTGGAGACAAAAGTAAAGTAAATAGATGAAAATTAAACAGATAAGGATATGTCATCATTAAATTTGGGAGCTGGAAAGAACTTCAGAGACCTTTGTCCAAACTCTTTATTTTGCAAAGGAGTACAATGAAGTCCAAAGCTATGAAATAATCTGCCCAAGGTCCTGTAGTTTTCTACTTCTCAATCTAGCCTTCGAAGCAGTTGTGAATAGTACAGTGAAAAGTGTTTACCCATTCTTTTCAAGGCTATTACTATAAAGTTGAAATAAGATACACAGAAGTTAAAATGGTATGAAACCCAGATAAACCAGCACACAGTTCAGTCTTAGAGGCAACATCATGGAAAAGTTAGAAGGTTAACCAAAGTCAGAATTGCTGGGTTTGAATTAAGGCTCTGTCCCTTAATAACTTTGGACAACTTTAGGGAAGTTGTTACCTTTTTTCTGCTTTAGTTTATATATTTGTAATTGGTAATTGGAAATGGAATTGTAATATTTGCTTTGTCAAAGTATAGACTGAGATTTATGTGAAAGTGTTTCAAAAATACCCAACAGTTTACATATCTTATGGCTAAGAACAATGAATTTCTGATAACAGTGAATACTTCCCGTTCACCTGAATTATCAGATGCAATGAATATTTCTACTGAAATATCATGACAGAGACTTACCAGGAGAATTATTTTGTCATGGTTTTCTTAGATCTTGGCATTTTGTCTATGCAAAAGTAGGACAGAGGAGACACAGAAAAATACATTTAAAAAGAATCTGGTCTTTGAAATGGAAAGAATGAATTATTTAAATGTTTACAACTGCAATGTACAGAACATCTTCAGATAAGAAGCAAACTATCTTTCCTTCTGCATCTTTAAAGAATCTCTTTCTGGGTGACAGAATAAGAACAAAGAATAGATATAACCCCCTCCTTTGCTTGGTGTGACATTAAGATAGACAATACATTATTTTTTATTTTACTCACTTAGGTCCAAGCTCACATCTGAAAAATCTTACCCAATGTGAAATCCACACTACATATCTTCCTGGACACTTCATTACTTTTGAATGTGAGATAGCCAAAGCTCCATTCTAATTTCTGTCTTAAGGTTGAGAAAAATCAGGTCTTAGCTTTCTAGGTGTCTGATTCTTGATAACTTTGTTTATAGCAATGTTTCCAAGTAATCACCAACACTCTTTAAAGGCAACACAGGTTGATGCAAAATGTTGAGTCTGCAAAATAGAGGAGTGAATAGCGAGTTCATGCCCAACTGACTTGAGTTTATGCAGACTGTTATGTTCTAGTGTGGTCTTCTTTGGGTGTGTTTGTCTAATTTTTCTCACTTATCTTCCTTTCCCTGCTTTTCTCATCAGTTCCTCGCTTCCTGGCATCCGTTTCAACATGTTTATTAGTAGCCACTGTATGATACCACTGCTCCACCAAATTAATTGTAGGGGAGGCAAAACTTTACCTTCTTAGGCTCTTAGCTGATCCTGAGAATTAATGTGGCATAGGACATTAACAAGAGAAAAGTATATAAATGTATTTTAATAAGTTTTACATGACACAGGAGGCTTCATAAGCAAATGAAGACCGAAAGAAGTAACAAAAGCTAAAAGCTAAATATATTAAGTTGAACAAAGAAAGACAATTATAGAAAAGTAATTAAACTATGTAGGTAAGCTAACTGGAAGAATTATTTTAACAAGGTCTGTTTGTACAGAATTCTCTTGACTATGACTCCATGTTGAATAATGTTTCTTTTCTCCTTGTACTGTGAGGACCTTTTTTTCTCATGGAATTTTTACCTCTTTTCAGAAAGATAGGAGGAGATTAGAATGCCATCTTGCATCTGCTCTTTTTCAAGTGCCTTTAGCTCAAAATAATCCTTATGTGAAAGTGGCATATTTGGGGTGGCTTATGCTGCCACCCTTCTTCATACCTCTTCTCAGCTTGTTGCTCTGACTGGCTTAGGTCAGAAGCCCATGAGAGCACCACTTCACACTGATGCGTGCAGCAATCCTCTTCCCTCAGGAGGGCACTCAGACTCCATCTCTCCCAGGAAGAGAATCTTTCCCACTCCAGTGATGCCTGGAGGTAGAGGTTAAGTTTCCTCTTACAACTGAGATTTCTTTCTCACCCCAAAGCATCCTAGCTTTCTTTCTTTGTATCCAACGCCTGCTTTCTCATGCACCGGACCCTTCTTAGCAGCCCTTCACTTGTGCAAACTGGCTGAGTGGAACAGCTGGAGCTCGCACCTCAGGATCCTTGTTTATATACCCATTTATAAGTAGGCTTTAATTTGTGGCAGTATATATTTTTTCCTCAAA